CTATTATCTTATTTCAGGATTAAACATAATTTTCTAGTAGTTAACATTAAAACCTACGTTAACACTAATTCACGAACAACTTTAACATCTGTATATTCATATAATCATCACTTCACTGGTAAACCAAACAAACAAAACCAAAACACAATAACCATTTTAATGTTTATGACTAGTAACCACAGGCATATTACGAACCTTTTTGTTTATAACTAACCCTGAATGGCGGGGGGGTGTCTGGCCAAGTTTTGCGGCATAAAGGCGACGATGACGCCAAACTCCCTTGTTGATATTCATGACGGGCGGACTGAAGCCGCGTCAGCTAAATTACTTTATTACTGCGGTGTACAGGTAAACAGCTACACCGCTAACTGCTGTCATAGGTTGCTTTGTATACGTACTGTACTTTATAGTGGGTGAAAATCGTAAGGAAATATGTATATTGGATTAGGTATACCTAAGTTATATATTGTGCAGTTTTGCTTACGTCTTCTTCGTTGTAAGTACTCTTGGTACCACACGTCACCACATAAAAACTGCTACTCGTAGTCATACGTCATCAATCCTTGAGCTTCACACATCCAGTGTCACAACATTTTTTGTGCATATACGAAGCGTTTGTGTGCATTTTTGATTTGATCAGTTTATTGCATCGGTGATTTGTGGCCTCAACATTACCTTGCGCTACAGGACACGACATATAGAATAGCAGTGTCTGCTGCAAAGTCAAAGGCAGCCGAAATGCACCCATTACTGAATTAGGTCTTCTTTGTATGGCTAAAATCGTAGTTAGGTTTTTAAAAGTTAGATGCTATAACTGCCTAGTCTTTGGTAGATTACATTTACTCTTCAGAAAATTACCGGGCTAAACATATGAGACTCTTCTATTTAGTTTTTTCAGTCTTAAACACAATTAAACTATTTGAATTTACCAGAGATTGCCTTGTTGGCCGAGTCACAAGTGCAACTACAGGGCAAGGGGTCTCGGGTTCGATTCTCGGGTCGGGCAAAGTATTACTGGATTTTTAAAAGAAATCTCAGTAGTTGCACGGAGTCTGGAAATGTGCCCGGTATATGGCAATAGGCTCACGCCCTATTACATGGGACTCATAACATAAATAGTGAAAAGTGGGTGTTACTTCTGTGTGCACCTCTGCCTATCCCTTCGGGGATAAAAGGCGTGATATTATGTAATGAACTTACCAGATTACTCAGTGCAACTATTAACTCTATAGTTGCATTTAATTAATATTTCAATGGTTGCCTTCAGGTAAGTAAAGCCAGTAAGAGTCTGACACTCCCTACCGTCTCACCCAGGCGGGAGCAGTCATTTGATGATTTTCCCACCTTAAAAAAACGGCATTTCCTAATTTCCACGCAAAAAATAACATCAATGATTCAATAAAGATATGTTTTAATTTTCATATTTCTTCCGTTTACGCACATAAACATTCCGACGACAGCCATATTCAAATGTCGGTTGATAAATGTTACCGTTGTTATTTTTATCTGTGGCAAGGGGACGCTACACTGCACTGTAAGGGATGAGAACCCCATAATACTAGGGTTCACATAACTTAAACTTTGCTTATTAATATATTTTGTGTCGTCTTGAAATAATATTTACATTTTAACATGTTTTGTGGCATTGTTGTGTATAATATGATACTACAGTTAGATACTATTTCCGGAAGAAGCGGTTTCAGGTGTAGGTAAACCTATGGTAATACGTCATGGATTATTGTTGTTGTTTTTTTACTTTCAAGTATCTATATGCACAGAGTACGAAAGAACCGATTTGGTCTCGTCCTATATAACAGTGATCTCATTAAATAATGGGTGTTCGGTGCACAAAGCATAATGTAATCATAGTTATCTAATTATAAAGATTTTCATTGCCGATAAACTAAAGCGAAAACCAATATAAAAAGACCACCAACTAACATTATACTATGAAGTAATGTGTGAAACCACACTATATAATAAGTGTAAGGAAAATATCAACCAAGACGATAGCTAAAACTCATTTACAAAGCGTATAGATGTAAATGAGATACATGTCGAGGGAATAAAATACTCAAAATGGCGGAATCATGTAAGCAAATGATATCGTAAGAATGTCTAATGAAAACTGGTTGAGAGGGCCAGACACGAGCGGACGGGCGGGCAGAGAAAAAATACTTGTTATGTAGCTTTTCTTTCTTATATATTCCTAGAAATTGTGCTCCTTTTTTCTATGTAAGAAGACGTTAGTAGTGTTTCTTGTGGAAATCTTAGATTTGAGATGGAGTTTTCACTGTCTTTTAAATTGTCAAAAATGTTAATTCTGTAAGGGTGCGTCCACATCTGGCGAATGCTCTGTGAATGCTCCGCCAATGCTCCGTTATGATCCACGAATGCTCGGCGAATGCGCATTTCGAGGGCGGCTCGCGAACCGCGCATTCGCGGCTGAGTAACAAACTATTGCCGTGACTGCACGCGCGCAGCTCGCGGGCAGCCAACAAACGGCTTACGAGCGCCACATTCGCGGAGCATTGGCGGAGCATTGGCGGAGCATTCGCGGAGCATTCGCCAGATGTAGACGCACCCTTAGATACCTAGTATAGCTAATGACGATTATAATGTACTTAATGGTTATTAATGAGTATTGTAATTATGTTTTACAGATAAATCAAATTGTAAATCCGTAACAAAAATGTATAAACACAAATTACAAAGAATTGTCATTTTCAAAAGACACAGAAGAAGATATGTAAAAGATACCTATTACATTTTTTACTCTTGATTTCATTCGTGATATATATATATATACCTCTATATATATATAGCTACTAATTCTAATTACTACGTGGATATAATAACATACCTACTTGTATATTTCTCTTGGCCTTCGGTTTCAAGGAAAAACAGATGATAATATGGTTATGAAAATCTAGTTTTTCTTTGCGGTTTTATTCACGTCCCCGGAATTTATCTATCATGACATAATCTCATCATGCATCGTGCCCAGTCTTATGTTAATCCGTTCAGCCGTTTAGGCGTAAAAGAGTAACAATTGGGTAACAATCATCCTTTCATATTATAGTACCGTGTAAAATAATCACACAAGTCGAGTTGGCGCTTCTAAGATGACAAGCATTTCTTAACCAATGAGGTTAATTCAAGAAAAAACAACGTACGTTTCGAAAAGATCTAAGCCACGGAACCAATAATATTTCGAGGTCCCAGCGACACTAATGGCATTAATACATCCAATATTTGTATTTCTACTTCTGACATTTATTACTGGTCTTAGTTGGCAACAAGATTATTTCTATATCGCCAACATGATTTGTAATAATGGCTTGTATTATTAACAAACAGATACTCATATTTCTATATTCACTCAGCTATCGAATACTACTCGTATTTTCGTCAAAGTTTCTTAGACAAGAAACATAAACAAGTGTAGGGACCACTAAATGAAATTGCAAATAAACGAAAACGTCAAGTTGTACAAAGTTTAGTGCTTCCCTCACAGTTTTAATAAACAAACAAAGAAATAAGGAAAGTTTAGCCGAAGGGTACTTATTGTTTTGCTTGACCTCGATAACAGAAATTAGAATAGCTTCGGCCAAAACAAATTTGTGAAAATGCTGCGACGGGCATCAAACGTGTTTTATGTAGGGAGAGATTAAAAAATGTTTGTTATGTCGCCTGGGTATTTATAGCACGGTACTCTGTCACAATCCAGCCCCGTTTTAATAGGGATATGTGAATACGAAACAACATTACTATCGCTTACGGTTTAAATAATTACGGAATACGATTTAATTTACCAGGAAATAAAAAATAACTTACCGCTAAGGATATAACGAGTCATGAAAAATCAACAAAGATACTTTTTATGGAATAAGCCGGTCAACGAGCGGACGGATCACCTGATGGTAAGCAATCGGCGCCATGAATACTTGAAACATCTAATGCGTTACTAGTGCGTTACCATCCTTTTGGGGATTAGGAATTTAAGGATTTTTGGGGATTCAGGGATTGGGGAGAATGGGGAAGGGGGTAATTGGGCCACCGGCAACCTCATTCACACGACGAAACCCAACGCAAGCGTTGTTCCAAGTCGGTTATCTGTGAGGCTATGGTATCACTCCGGTCCTGTGTCGTGGGTATGTTTGTAAACTCACCTACGATACAGAAGAAAATCCTAGTGTGAATTAACGTTATTATTTACTTAAAAAGTAAAATATCTTAAACTATATTTCTTGGTTCTTTTTATCTCAAAATAAACACAGACTTAGGCTTATATTTCTCATCAAAAACATTTCGATTTGTTGCATCCATTCATTCAGTACTCAAGCGGCCATGATTGCTCTTTCGCGTGAGCCACTCTGATAGTTTCGTGGTTCGTAGAAAAACTACCAGTTATATCTTCTGTAGGTACGAAATGAACGTAAACGCATAAATATATTGAATACAGTGATATACCTACAATATAAAAGTACCGTACTAACTTCTACACGCAACTTTGTTCGCGTAGAAACCATTCTATTTTTTTTTTAGAATTCGCTTTGTTTGCTTTGGTAAGACATCCTAAATTAATTATTATATTTTTCGAGTCACCGTGTGTCACGGAATACTGCTCATGAATATGAGCCTCTAGCAAGGCTTGAAACTAGTCGAGTTTCTCGTCCAAACAGTTAGATAAGTAAGCCGAAAAACATAATAATTAATGTAAATTATTAGGTATTTTACCAGACTTATTTCGCTACACAATAACAAAGTTTTATTCAATTCTGTTCATTAGTTCTGGAGATTAACGTGTGCAAACAGACAGCTATGCTGATGCGCAGTCGGACGTGTACGGGTTGGAATGCGGGGTGAGGCAGGGGGGATTGTCCTCGCCTCGTCTTTTCAACCTGTATATGAATGGGTTGATAGGTGAGCTCAGCAGCACTAATATAGGTTGCTCCATAGATGGGGTATGTATGAATAATATTAGTTATGCGGATGATATGGTGCTGCTGAGCCCATCGATCAATGCGCTACGCAAACTGTTGTGCATTTGTGAGTCGTATGCCCGGGCTCATGGGCTCAAATATAATGCCAAGAAAAGTGAGCTAATGGTTTTTCAAACTGGTACCAAAGTTTACTCGTCTGTACCTCCGGTTATTCTGTGTGGCACACCGCTTAAGAGGGTGACGCATTTCAAATACTTGGGCCACTGGGTCACTGACGATTTGTGTGATAACATGGATATTGACAGGGAGCGCAGGGCGCTGTCCGTCCGGTGTAATATGTTGGCTCGTAGGTTTGCACGTTGTACTCCGCCAGTAAAAGTGACCTTGTTCAAGGCTTACTGCCAATCGTTTTACACGTGCAGCTTGTGGGCCAACTACACGCAGCGGGCGTATAGCGCACTGCGTGTACAGTACAACAGTGCCTTCAGGGTGCTGTTGGGGTTACCAAGGTTTTGTAGTGCTTCAGCTATGTTTGCTGAAGCACGAACTGATGATTTTTTCGCCATAATTAGAAAGCGGGGCGTTTCACTTCTTGATCGCCTGCGTGGTAGCACTAATAGCATGCTGAGGGTATTGTCCGAGCGATGGGATCTGCCCCTTTTAAAGGTATGGATGAAGTTGCATGCTAGTGGATTCTCACGTTATATTTAATGTTTTGTTATTGTAATTTTGTCTTTAATATTTATTTTTCAATTTTATTCTAATTTTATTTTAATTTTACATCCATTTTTATTTTAATGTATTTTATTATTGTTTTTATTTTATTTTAGTTTAATTCAATTTCAATTTTACATACATTTTTATTTTTCAATGACATTTATAATTTGCTTTTTAATGAAATCTGATTGTATAATAATTGTAATTGTAATTGATGATCAAATTTGTTTTACTAACACTAGTTGTATAAGAAAATTGTTACTAACCATTTATGAGCTCTGAGCTTGAAATAAAGATTACAATTCAAAATATGCAAACAGTTATTTTTTTGTCTTTATTACTTTTCTTTAATATCACTCTTGTGTTTCTTCAATAGGGTAGATGCCTAATTTTTATTTTAATGTCCGTCTGATAGATTATTTTAAATTATTTTATACACGTATTTTTTATTTTTTTACAGAAACGAATATGTACTTTCGACGATAAATTGATTTGAAATGTCGCGTGACGTCACTTCTATGTCCGTTTTATACGTAGAAATGACGTTTTAGCCCCCACTACTAAACTTTGATTCGTTTTATCTAAGTATTGTTTTATTATACGACAAAAATAAAAAAAATACGTGTCTGATATTTTTTCATTACCTAACTGACGGACTAATTAGATTTATAATTTTCATACCCTGTCATCATCCCAATTTAGAACTCTCTTTTTGGTTTTTGTCAAAAACATGAAATGTACAGACACTTCTTTTACAATTATATTATATGTTACACATATAGATAGTTGATATACTTATATATGTAGTATATTAATGGCATTCGTGACTACCGAGCCTATTCTTTGAACGATTCGTATGATGTATGGGTTTATGAGTTTGTTATGGAATTAGACAATGAGACTATGATGATAGTTGCGAGATAGATATCAATTGATTTATATTAGAGAGTATTATGATTGAAAAGCGGGACTGTTGTATTGTGACTTGCGAGTAGTGGTGACGCAAGTTGCACCAAGTTTTCAAATAATTTTGGGACTATGATTGAAAATGTTTTTCTCTTGACTTTATTTGTTGGAAATGCGACTGGCGTGACTGCCAAACAAAAAGTCTCGTGTTGAATTATCAGGTCAATCAAAGTGTTATTGAGGCTTTTACGTCAATAAAATAAATAATAAAAAATAAGAGCTGAATAAGAATGCAAATACATTAAAGCAATTACATTAATCTAAACTAATCTTCTTCTATATTAATAATTTCGTCAAGGGGTACGGTTTTTTTTTTAAGGGGAGAAAATCATCGAATGACTGCTCCCGCCTGGGTGAGGCGGAAGGGAGTGTCAGACTCTTACTGACGAAAAACCACCCCGTTCCTTCTCCTGCACGTCGAGTCGGAGCCCCGGTTACCCGTTAGGTTCTCCGCGACTCCGAATCGGCATCGGCACTATTGGGCCCCATCTGTGGTGGTCTGATGGCTCTTTGAGGCGCGCGCGGAACGCGACGCGCCGTACGCTCAAGGGGTACGGTAGACTCGATCGAAAGATTATTTCGTTTTATTAATTCATTTTAATGACACTGTCACAAACCGCAGTCGCCATCTTGAGTAGACAATAAACATTCCGTTTCATACAAGCTCTTAAATACGCCTCGCCAATCAACACGTTGTCGCGTCAAAAAATTATAAATTAACAAGAAATATGAATAATTTCACGCCAACGGAGTCGCGGGTAACAGCTAGTGTTTGTAATATTTTATAGGTACTTACCAATTATATTAAAAAAAAAAACTCAAAACTGTTCTATTTTAAGACTACCATTAAGGTCTCCTAAGTTTGAAGTGTTTCTGCGCAATTTAACTAAGAACTAACAAGTCTTAAGTACCTATCTAAGGCTTAAAAAACATTTAGTGAAAATACTCTAAACATAATAAATAACAGTAAGTTTTTATTAGGTCCCATAATAAAGGAATAAACGAAGGTAATAGTGTGGTTATGGGATGCCCAAGTTTGAAACGTAAAACCGGTAGTGAGAGGAAGGAACCGAACAAAGAGAACCGAACAAGTTCGTTGCTAAAACTTGTAAAACCAAAAACTTTAAGAAATCGATGAAACGGGAAGTGTTCGCGTTCTAAACCTCTGTGAAATGTTTAAACAAAAATAAATGCAGAATCGTAAGTAGGTATTAATCTGAAAAGCCAGCCGATCAGATAAGTTCCCGCGTCCTACCTACACGCTTGCCAAATATGTCGCAACAGATAGCGAGCGTCGCGCCGCGCCGCCCTCGCACTGCCGCGCTCTACCAAAGATTTACTACTAAAATTCTGTCACACTCCCTTCCCAATACGATCCGCCGAATGCACGTTCATACTCAGACTTCTATACAACAGTTTGGGAAGTTCGCTGATTTATTTTGAAAATTTTAAAGAAGTTAGCAACAAATATTTGGTTTCTTGTTGGCTTGGCTTTGTGTAGGATTTTACGAGCAAAGAATTTTGACGTGATCGATTACAAAAATATACGTGCTGTATTTCAATCACCAAAGCAGAAACCGTGACTAGCATATTACAATCTAAGGCGACGCGACTGTGAGAAAGTTTCGATTGTGTAAAAACACGGAAATATGCAGGGGACGCGCTTATGGTCGGACAGGGAAACGACTGATATGCAAACGGAAAGTTGGTGTGTGTGCTTTTAAATTCGGAAAAGTTTTTTAATTTGTTGGTTGGTTTCAGTGTGACGAGCGCTGCGAGCACTCGGCGCCATCACTGCCTCGGCGAGGTGACGTATCATAACATTTTCCGCTCAACTCCTGCCACGACACGGTCGAGCGAGCTCAAAAGGCGAGCGCAAGCGCCGATTCAACTATTCCGTAGCTCAACTACGTGCCCTCGGTAAATTCACGCGTCGCCTCATTATTTCGCTTCGAGTCCGCTTCCTTCTAAATAAATGTTATTAAAATGCAAAAGTAATATTTTTAAAACGTCAAGTGTAAACGTTCGTCTGACTAGTGGCGGCTTGGGCGCGTGCAATTAAGATTTACACGTGTGCTTCGTTCTGTGGAATGTATTTTACGCTTTTAAAGCAGTTTTTCATTTTTTTTAATCTTACAGCTTTCAGGAAGAATTTAATAACTTTGTAGTTACAAGCGAGTGTGGAAACGCAAATGAATTTACTCACGTAAATGATAAACGTTGGTTAACATTAACCCCTAGTAGTGTAAATGGTTAGGTTGCTGTTTAATTTTTCCAGCTTGTAAAATAATTTCTGTGCTGAGAATTCACGGGTGTTAATATATTTTTATTTTTAAGTACGTGGAGATAGTTGGAATATGGTTGATGTTGATAAATACTTAATTAAAAGCCGCAGCATACCTAAAGTGTGAGAATAGCTACGAAAAACTAAAACTTCATAATACCCATTCCATTTCTAACTACAGATGCACGTGCTTCACGAACCCTCTTTTTCCAACGACAGAACCTTAAGAAGAAACCCTTGAAACACTGTTCGGAGGTAACGACAACAATTTACCTGTAGCTAGCATAAAATTAATAGCTATTCCTATGCGGGCCGAACGTTAAACAGCCAACTTTTACAGGATTCGCCACTGTTATGGAAACTCCTTAAACCGGCTGATTGAGACTGAAACTTTGCAGAATAGTAATTAGTTTTCATTCTCTGAAAACTCTGAGATTTTCATAACCGGATAACTTGAAACTTTAGTGGATTCGACGGCTCACGTTACAGTTCTGAACATTTACAGGAGTTTGCTTAGACCAGGATAAACTACGTTTTGTAAAACGATACTTATCCGACTTGGCAAGAGGTAAAAGAATTAGTTCTGTGGTTGTACTTTAGTACAGTAAGACTAGATCGAAGATGGGAATAAAAGTCGATAAAACTTGTGAACTTTTCGAATAAAGATCTTCGGTTCAGCACAGATGACCTAATTTTTAGTGCTTCAAAGTTTTTACAGTGAACCTAGATTGGCTCAATTGTATTTCTTTGGGTGTAAGTTATCTTCTAAGAAGTATTTTATAGTGTAGTATCTTACAATAGTGTAAAAAACTCAACATTGTTGATTTATAGCACTAGACAAAATACTGACATTACTACTAATAATAAAAAAATAAAATAAATACACGTAAAAATTCAATTGGATCGGGCACGCGTGTGTCATTTGTTTTTATATATGTGTATTGGAAATTCCTGAATATCTCGTGAAACATAATGAATAGAATGAAAACGCACAATGTTGGGCTCGTTGTCATTTTGAGTGTGACGTCATTGATGTGTCATTTGTTTTTCTTTTAAATAGTGAATTAAACGTTTTAATTTCTCATGTTTCTCTTTTTCAAATATGATTTTTCCGAGCCGAGTTATTTTTGAATCCAATGTAGAATATTCAAACCTATTGCCATATACTGGACTTACTGTTCGTGAACACGACACGATTTCCAGTGCTTTTGAACTTTTATTTATGTAAAACATGATGTTAAAATAATCTAATTGATGTCAAAAACTTATTAGTTGTCCAAAATTACATTTCAGCCATTAGTTGGTGCCCACGTAGAGTGGCCGTGGGCAAACGGGTCAAAAAACCGTCCCTGTCTCGAAACGTCCATTTGGAGCAAAAACCTAGGCGGTGCTTCCGTTCACCGACAAAAGGAAATTCAATAAGAACGAATTTCCCGTGATTTACGACCACTATTTCCTCGTTAATGCTCCGCCGGGCCTCGAGGTGTGTTGCAAGATTTCATAGTAAAGACAATTCAGTTAGTTTTATATGTATACGAATATCTACCTTAGTGCGTAGTTTTAACCTTTCACAAGTAGACTTGCAGCAGGGAATTGTATTTTTACAGAAGTTATTCTGTGAGTACGTGACGTTGTACCGGTGCTACGTGAAATTACAGTTACTTTAATTCTGTATTTTTAAAGTTTACTTCTTCTAATATTGCTTTTGAACGTGAGAATTAGTTATGGCCCAATAAATACTGGT